AGTGGAAACAGTTTCGCAGATCGCAGCCCCCCAGCGACGGCGAGGTCTACCTCAGGTCTGCGCGGTGCCTCACTCCGCTGGACCCACCAGCAGCCCTCGAAAGTGGCGACGGTTTCGCAGATCGCAGCCCCCCAGCGACGGCGAGGTCTACCTCAGGCCGGCGCGGTGCCTCACTCCGCTGGACCCACCAGCAGCTCTCGAAAGTGGCGACGGTTTCGCAGATCGCAGCCCCCCAGCGACGGCGAGGTCTACCTCAGGTCTGCGCGGTGCCTCACTCCGCTGGACCCACCAGCAGCCCTCGAAAGTGGCGAGGGTTTCGCAGATCGCAGCCCCCCAGGGACGGCGAGGTCTACCTCAGGTCTGCGCGGTGCCTCACTCCGCTGGACCCACCAGCAGCGAGGTCTACCCCGCGGTGCCTCACTTCGCTGGACCCACCAGCAGCCCTCGAAAGTGGCGACGGTTTCGCAGATCGCAGCCCCCCAGCGACGGCGAGGTCTACCTCAGGTCTGCGCGGTGCCTCACTCAGCTGGACCCACCAGCAGCCCTCGAAAGTGGCGACGGTTTCGCAGATCGCAGCCCCCCAGGGACGGCGAGGTCTACCTCAGGTCTGCGCGGTGCCTCACTCCGCTGGACCCACCAGCAGCGAGGTCTACCCCGCGGTACCTCACTTCGCTGGACCCACTAGCAGCCCTCGAAAGTGGCGACAGTTTCGCAGATCGCAGCCCCCCAGCGACGGCGAAGAGAGGGCAGGAGGAGGGAGGAGGCGGGAGGAAGGACGGTCGAGCAGTGCTCTATTCAAAAAAATACCCAACCAAGGAGGGTTAGGAAACAAAAACGTGGCTCCGGCGCGTCCCGCCGGCCACCCGGAAGGCTACTGGCGAGGTGGTTCCAAGGTTTTCCTGGTCCAGATGGCTCCAAAATGGCCCAAGATGGCCTCCAAGACGGCCAAGATGGCCTCTCAGTTTGCCCAAGATGGCCAAGATGGCTTCCAAGACGGCCCAAGCGAGTCCAAGATGCCTCGGAGTCTACCCAAGAAACCTCCAAAACGGCTCAAGATGGCCTCGAATGACGGCAGAGAGATCAAGAGGCCCCCAAGAGGCCTTCAAGACGGTCAAAGACGCCTACAAGAGGTCTTCCAGGAAGGCCCGAAGAGACAAAAATCATTGATATGCATTAGGTGTTTGATAGATGTTGGCATTTGCTTCACTTCGGCCTTCCGACGGCCCGAGGCGGCCCAAGAGCCCCCAAAGATCGCCCCAAGATCGCCCAAGAGGCCTACAAGATGGCCCGAGAACGGCCCAAGAAGCCCCCGAGACGGCCCCAAGAGGGCTACGAGACGGCCCAAGAGGCCTCCAAGACGCACAAAATTGCCTCCAAGGCTGCCCTGGGGACCACCCCAAGAGGGCCCCAAGTCGGCCCAGAGAGGCCCCCTAAGACGGCTCCCGACGGGCCAGGAGGCCACCAAGACGGCCCAAGATGGTTTCAAAATTGACTAAGACGGTTAAAAAGGCCCCGAAGAGGTCTCCAAGATGGCCAGAGAGGCGCTCAAGAACGCCTCCAGGAAGGCCATTTCATCGGGTTTTTGATCGACTTTAGCATGTGTTTCTCTTCGGCCGTCCGACGGCCCGAGACGGCCCAAGAGCCCCAAAAGATCGCTCCAAGATCGCCCAAGAGGCCTTCAAGATGGCCCCAGAACGGCCCAAGAAGCCCCCAAGACGGCCCCAGGAGGGCCCCAGAACAGCACAAGAGGCCCCCAAGACGGCCCCAAGGGGGCCAGACGGCCCAAGAGGCCACCAAAACGCCCAAAATGGCCTCCAAGGCGGCCCTGGAGAGCACCCCAAGAGGGCACCAAGTCGGCCCAGAGAGGCCCACAAGACGGCTTCCGACGACGTCAGACGAGCCAGGAAGACTGCCAAGGACCCTCAGAGGTCCAAGGAGGCCCCCAAGATGCTTCCCAGAGGCCCACAGGAAACTTCCAGAAGGCCCCAAGCGTGCCCCCAGAAGCTGTGAAGATGTCCCTTCCTCCTCCTCCTCCTCCTCCTCCTCCTCCTCCTCCTCCTCCTCCTCCTCCTCCTCCCCTCCTCCCTCCTCATCCTCCTCTCCTCCTCCTCTTCCTCCTCCTCTTCCTCCTCCTCCTCCGCATCCTACCCCTCCTCCTCCCCCTCCTCCCCCTCCTCCTCCTCCTCCTCCTCCTCCTCCTCCTCCTCCTGCTCCTGATCTTCCCCGGCATCATCCCCAAATGTTACCCGAAGGGTTTCCACAGAGGCTGGGGGAACACACGGCGCGATAGCTTGGCAAAGCTCTTGCCACAACGCTCGGCCACGCACAGGCAATACCAAAAGGCAGGGGGCGGCGATGACTCGCCGCAGGCGTCGTCGACACTGCCCACAAGGCCCCAGCGCAGCTCCCCCCAAACAAATTAGGTAACGTACTCAACCTGTTCTAATAGTATGACATTTATATATATACATGAAAAGGACCGCCCACTGCAAACAAACATGTTGAACAACCAGCAGTGCGCGTGAGCTCCCAGAAGTACGCAAGAAAGCACCGGAGACAGAAGCACACAGAGGGGTGTGAAGAAGGTACGCACATGCTCAGTGACAGCAACAGCGCCGATACGCAGGAAAGACCAGCGCCGGGTCGCGCTGAGCGAGGCAGGCGCGCGGGATGGTATGGCGGGCCAGAGGCAGCTAAGGACGGGAGACCACGCGGCCAGAAAAAACAACGCCATGCGCTTCGTGGCGCCGCGGCTCCCAGCGAGCTGCGATGCGACGGCGCCGAGCGCTGCGTGCCAGGACAAAGCCGCGCGCTATGAGATCCCCTGCGAGTTTGGATGCGAGTACTTGTCGTCAGTTGCATTTCTCGTTGCGCCCTCCCAGGAGCCCCACGAAAAAGGCGACAACTACGCACTTCGCAGCCACGCAGGGAGCCGCGAGGTCCCAACTGAATCCGCGTACCACTCCACTCCGCGCGACCTCCCAGGAGCCCCACGAAGAAGGCGACAACTGCGCACTTCGCAGCCACGCAGGGAGCCGCGAGGTCCCAACTGGGTCCGACTACCACTCCACTCCGCGCGACCTCCCAGGAGCCCCACGAAATGGGCGACAACTGCGCACTTCGCAGCCACGCAGGGAGTCGCGAGGTCCCAACTGGGTCCGCGTACCACTCCACCCCGGTGGATCTCCCAGGAACACATGAAAGTGGCGACTACTGTGCACTTCGCAGCCACCCAGAGCGCCGCGAGGTCCCAACTGGGTCCGCGTACCACTCCACTCCGCGCGACACCTCCCAGGAGCCCACGAAAAAGGCGGCACCTGCGCACTTCGCAGCCACGCAGAGAGCCGCGAGGTCCCAACTGGGTCCGCGTACCACTCCTCTCGTCCCGACCTCCCAGGAGCCCTACGAAAAAGGCGACAACTACGCACTTCGCAGCCACGGGGCGCCGCGAGGTCCCGACTGGGTCCGACTACCACTCCACTCTGCGCAACTTCCCAGGAGCCCCACGAAAAAGCCGACACCTGCGCACTTCGCAGCCACCCAGGGCGCCGCGAGGTCCCGACTGGGTCCGCGTACCACTCCACTCTGCGCAACTTCCCAGGAGCCCCACGAAAAAGGCGGCACCTGCGCACTTCGCAGCCACGCAGAGAGCCGCGAGGTCCCAACTGGGTCCGACTACCACTCCACTCTGCGCAACTTCCCAGGAGCCCCACGAAAAAGGCAACACCTGCGCACTTCGCAGCCACGCAGGGCGCCGCGAGGTCCCGACTGGGTCCGCGTACCACTCCACTCCGCGCAACATCCCAGGAGCCCACAAAGTGGCGACAGTTGCGCACTTCGCAGCCCTCCAGGGACGCAAGCAGGAAGAAGAAGGAGAGAAGGGAGGAAGAAGAGAGGGAAGAGGAGATAGGAGGCAGGAAGTAGGAGGCAGGAGGACGGAGAAGGAAGGAGGAGAAGAGGAAGCCTCGACCACAGTGCTCCACTCAACACGAGAACCCAACACGGGAGGGTTGGGGAAAAAAACACGCACCAAAAGAAGCCGATGACAGCTCAACATAACCCCCAAGACCGCCAGGATGCTTTTACCACGTCTGTAAGTCCGCTAGGAGCGTCCCGGATCGGCGGCACAGGACGAAGGTCACTACAGTAATACATAAAGAAGGAAGAGAGAGGACGAACACGAGGAAGACGACGAGGGCGGGGAAGAAAGAATAGGCAGCGAGATCCGCTCTTCCTGGTGACCGAGGTCATCCCCTTCCCCATGCCCCCATGCCCCTCTCCCCGCTCCTACACCCTCCTCACGCTCGTTAATCGTCCTTCTCGTCCTTTTCTCTTGCTCCTCTCAGATTCATCGTCTGCCTCCTAGTATCCCTGTTTCTCGAGCGCTTGACCCTCCTTCTGCTCTCCTACTCAAGCTGCTCCTCCTCGTGCCCGTCGTCTATGTTCATCATGTTCCTCTTCCTGCTCCCCATCGTCATACTGCTCCTGCTTATCATTATTATTATTATTGTTTAGTATCCTTCTTCCTCTTCTCCCCACTCGTTGCAGCCACCACCGCCACCGACATCGCCGCCGCCGACAACAACGTAGACGATGGCGAACATGACGGCACTATATCGGGGCCGTCGTTACCGCCGCCAGCGGCAGCATAGACGACGTCGACGACGGCGACGATGACGTCGTTCCGCTGTCAGATCGACTACACGCAAAGAGTTGACATTGGGCAATGACAGATCTCTGAAGCGCGGCTGCAAAGGGCCGCAAACCCGCCCGTGCAGGCCAGCGCTGGGGGGAGGGCCCTGTGTCGGCACCAAGCTGAGGCCCTGCACCATGGGGCCCAAAGGAGAGGAGGTCCCGTACAGTGCAAGTTCGAACTTGAGGCCCGCTCCTGACCCCAGAGCGCCATCCCTCGGGGCCCCATCTTCGACCCCCCGACTGTGGGCCCGCACCAAAGGCCACTCCGACCGAGGGCCACCCTTGCGAGGTAGCCGACCAGAGAC